TGGGCGGGGAAATACACACACACACACGCTGTTAATCAGCTAGCAGGGGACGCAACGAGCACAGACTTTGCACGGCAAAACAACATGAGCAGCTGCGCACAAAATGCAGAAACATACTAATAAGCACACAGGCGGATCGCGGGCAGTTTCGAATTCTCCATCACAATTAAAACAGTAGCATCCCCACACACACGCACACATGCACACACACGCACACACACACACACGCACACACACACACACATACTCTTACACACAACTACACACACACGCGCGAGAGAGAGCACATTCTCACCCACATTTGAACACCTACATACATACAAACATACATACATACAATCGCGCACAAATACAAGCCACTGAACACCGCAACAATAACCATCGGCCGGCATTGCAGCTTCTATCTGTGTTTGCTGACCTTATCTTTGCAGTTTGCTGCCTTTGTGCTTTTGCTGTCGCTGTTGCTGTTGCTGCTTGCCGGCACAACAGGAGAAAAACACCGCGCCACGAAACACCCACAGCAAGAAACTTTGCTCCGAACGTATGTACGACATCACTAAATCACGAACGGACACAAAGTGGCACCCACGCAGTGAACATACGGGGAAAGACCTTCATGCCATACTCCCTACACGCCGTACCTTGCCAAGGTACAACAATTTCATACCGAAATCCCCCTCCGTCACCAACTCGTCTATCCATGTGCAACACGTCTTCTCCCATAGAATCCAAGAACCTGCCCAGCACACCCACCTGGCGATTGTGACGTCAGCTCGGCCGCTAGTGGAGGATGATGACGAAGGCAGTGCGCGGCAGCGGCTGATGCACGCGAGGGGCCCTTGGGGTTCCAGTTCTACACACTCGCTGGTGCCAGGTCCCCTCGATCACACCTGCAAAAGGAGCAAGACAGGTGCCTTACTATGAAAGTCGAAATGAGCAGTCGTCTCTGTCGCGAGGAAGGTCAAGGACTTCGGACGAAGTGGTCATGTCTCGCCTAACGACGTGTACTTTTCTGCCAAACTGTCTAGCTTTCAGCCTTCGTAGCCTCCTTACACAGCGTAAGCATAATTGTCGGGATTACGCTCAAACGCCGCATACGCCCATATTCTTGCAGCAGAGCGTTGCACAAACGTCGAAAGCCCGTCGACAAAGCCACCTTGATGCTTCAAATATCCATACATGAACACGAGAGACAAGCAGCTCACCTCAAAAAAATTGAGTCGCACGTTGCCCTCAGCAGACGAGTTAGGCATGTCGATGTCCGTGAAGCGGCGACGCTGTGCCTGGAGCAACGTCAGCAGGGGCTAAACAAATAAATGATTGAGCTAGCCGCGTAATAAAGTAGAGCAATGGAACTGAAGTGCGGCGGCTACAGCGTGAAGGTTTTGCAATGAACAGTACCTTGCAAACGTTTGCAGGGTCCAAAGCAGCTTCTCGGAATTCCACGCAGCTGTTCATATGTTCTAACTCATTTGCTGGTGATATGTAGGAAGCTAGCAGCTTTTACGAACGCAACAGAGGTGGAACAGGCCAAAATACGTTGTGTAAAAGCCAGCGATTATATATCGGACGTTGTGCACATTTGCTAAAAGAGCTGGAAGTGCTATGGGAGGTGCCTTTTGTCAGAGGCCAGCTAAGTTGTACGGCGTCCGGTAAAAGGTGCGCAACAGCTGCAAATCCAGGTGTGTTGGTAAGGTGCAGATCGGCGAACTCACTTTGTCGACAGTTAGCCTATTTATATTTATATTATAGCTGCATGTCACTGCATTATCACGTCCACTCCCGTTCCTCTGCACCTGGTTACGTCCCCGGAAGCAATATCCCTCAGTGCAAGCCCTTGCAACAAACAACATATCAAGTCATCATGAAGGCCGCTGCTCCATTTTTGCTTATGCGCAAAGCGGGCGATTGACGTATTCTGCTCATGGCGGAAGTGCCACGAGCTATTGATACAGCGTTATGGATCTTGAAGCTCTTCTTGAGTGTCTAAGATGCTTTGAGTCATGTTTGCTCACAGGAGGAACTGCGGCCCGAACAAGGGCGCCACCGAACTACTATCATGGAGGGCTTCCTTTGACAGGGCTAAGCCCTATACACACCTTACGGGTTCAAATCTTCCGTAAAACGGAGGCCTTAGGTGCTCCGAGGAAAAAGCGACATACCGAAGGTCATCGTCAACCACCTACACAATGACAAGGATGCTGGCGCCCTCACCCTCGCTGTCACCAGCACCAGCACCGTCCTCGTCACCCAGCACTGCTGTGAGCAGCGAGATCGTCCCCGCCCAGCTCCCTACCA